CCAATTCCAACCATAGTTGCTTGTTAAGGGGGCTAATACTAAATATTTTCATGTTTCACTGAGTGAAATTGCTTCGTTGCGAATTACAGAAAAAGCGTCAGAGTCGAGTTCTGAACTGGAGAATCAGATATCGAAGCTCGAAAAAGATCTGCAAACCGTGAAGGATCAGTTATGCTCCACAGAAGAACTGAAGAAGCAAGCCCAAAAAGAAGCCGAGGAATCGAACCAACAGCTCTCAGCCCTCTCTCTGAAGCTCGACGAGTCTCGGAAGCTTCTAGAAACTTCCGGACCGGAGGAAATCTCTGAAGAACGGGACCCGATACTCGTATCCGAACTCGACGCTATCCAGAAACAGCACTCGCATGATACAGCTGCGTTAGCCTCTGCCTTGGACGAAATCAAACAACTCAAAAGCCAGCTCGAAACTGTATCCGAATCCGAATCTGCCCATTTCAAGAACTCGGAACTCGACAAAACCGAGCTCGAGGATTTGAAGAAGAGTTTGTTGGAAACCCTTTCGCTAGTCGAAGAAATGAAAAACGAGCTGAGTGATTGCAAGGAATCCGAATCGCGGGCCCACACACTCGTCGGAGAAACTTTGACTCAACTGGAAACAGCCAAGAAGAAAGTGGAGATGCTTCGATCGGACGGCGTAAAAGCCACCGAAGAGTACAATGCTATAGCTGCTGAGCTGGACCAATCGAGGGCCCGTGTTGATTCTTTGGAAGAGCTCGTTAGCAAACTCAAGGCTGACATCAGCATTAGCGACAGTGGCAGCAAAAACGAGGGCGACGTGATCGACACGGAGATTAATTCTGTGAGAATCGAAGTTCAACAATTGAGATCTGCTTTAGAAGCTGCTGAGATACGACACAACGAAGAACAGTCTCGAAGTGCGGAGCAGATGGAGAAGGCTTTAGAAACTGTCGAGAAGATAAAATCAGCTTCGGCAAACAGAGAAGCTGAGCTGGAGTCCGAGCTTCGAAAATCGAGAAATGAAATCGAGGAGTTGAAGGCGAATTTAATGGATAAAGAAACCGAGCTACAAGGTATATGCGAAGAGAACGAAAGCCTCACTAGGAAAATCGAGAGCAGCCACGCTCTCTCCGGCGACGAGTTCGATAAGGAGATTGAAAACCTGAAGGACAGTTTGACGGAGAAGGAGAGAGAGTGGCGGAACGCGTCGGAGGAGAGAGAAAGGCTGGTGAAAGAAACGAGCGGTGGTGGTGATGTCGGCGACGATGTCGTCGAGTCTGCCAGGGCCGCGGAGAGGGAGGCGTTGATGAAGGTGGGGTACATGACGGAGGAGGTGGACAAGAGTCACCGTAGAGTGGCGAGGGTGGCGGAGCAGCTGGAGGCGGCGCAGGCGGCGAATGGGGAGATGGAGGCGGAGATGAGGCGGCTGAAGGTGCAGTCGGATCAGTGGAGGAAGGCGGCCGAGGCGGCTGCCGCTATGCTTTCTTCGCAAGGCAACATTAATAGCAATGGGGGCCAGATTATGGAGAGGAGTGGATCGATGGATAGCCATTTCAACGGGAGCCCGAGGATGGGGAAGATGAGTTCGTCGCCTTATGGTGATGACGTGGACGATGATTTGATGAAGAAGAAGAATGCTAACATGCTGAGGAGGATTGGAGTTCTGTGGAAGAAGCCACATAAATAAGAGATATTCATATAATAATAATATATTAATAGAAATTGGTATTAAATTTCAAAACATTTGGAATTTTTTATGTTATGTTATGTTGTGTACTTTTGTAGGAAATCTTGCTGTTTTATTTATTTATGGCATTTTGCAATTCTTTACCAGTCATTTTTTCTTTACCTCATTCATATGAAACATTGAATTAAAATATTTAATTAAATAATAATAAGTAGGTGACGAGCTCAAAGACAGCCACCACTGTGTGGAAAGGATTTAAGGATTTTTTTCATAAACGAATAAGAAAAGTGTATAAATCAAGATTTACAATTGATTGATTGATCGATGTAAACCGGGGACGAATAGAAAGGTCCTAGATTAGCAAATAATCATATAGGATTCGCTATATAAACAAACGTATAAAATCCTATTAGGGTTGCGCTCGGAAACAATTAATAATATATCATATACTTTCTCTTCTACAATTTTCGTGTCATCTTGTTCATCCCGCCGGTCCTAAATCCAGCAATAGGTGAAATTTTCCGGCAGTTGAGTGATGGTTCAAAGAAAGTAGGGCAAATTACAGTCACCCCTGAGTTATGGTCAAATTACGAAAAACCCCCATCCTATTTGGCTAATTACAGCCACCCCCTAAACTATATATTATTTTAGGAAAATACCCCTCCAAAGGTAAATTTAGGGATGTTAATCGGTAAAACCGAACCGAAATTTCGATACGCCAACATTTCATACCGTTACCGAACTAAATATACGATTGGGTTTGTTAATAACCGAATTACATAAATTTTATGTAAAAATATATAAAAGGAGGGGGTGACTATAATTATTCAAACAAGAGGGTTTTTTTCGTAATTTAGACATACCTCAGGGGTTGACCGTAATTTGCCCAAGAAAGTGTAATATTAATATACAGTACACTCGTCCAGCCCACTTGTTCTTGATCCCACGTAAATTGGGCCTCGGACACATTTAATTCTCTTGAACTTTTACCACATGCTCTTAACATGCGAAACAATCTTCTTTTTTTTTTTTTTTTTTTTTTCTTTTCTTTTCTTTTCAAAATTATCATATTATTATTATTTTTAGTTAAAAAAACGTCATAACAATTAAAAATAGCTACGTACATAATTTGAAACTACAGAAAAGAAAACAAATATAAAAAGCTTCGTTTCAAATTAAAAGAAATTGGAGTTATGTTATTCAATACTCAAAAATCAAAACCAAAGGACACCTGGAATAAATATTCTTGCAAACAAAGAATACTGCTATGCAAAGTACATTTGTTCCAGAGTGTTCAGACTTTGTCTGAACCAGTCTATGAAAAATCAATGTCATTTCTTTTTTCATCAACACAAACAACATTCCAAACACACACAACAAAAAAAAAAAAAAAAACAAAAAAGACATTGTATATATAGAATCCAAATATTCCAATCTAAATACACTCTAAGGCAACTCAGATCGAATGTTGTCGACCCCGGCGCGATCTAATTGCCCGACGAGTAATTAACTAATCTTTGCTATTTAGTTAGTAAAATATATCACGAAAAGTGACTCCTTAAACATGCAATAAGCACAACAACACTTCTCATATAATAGTGACTAATTAATTAGGTTCGAACAAACTCCGATTCATCGAAAACGAAATCACCAAAAAAAAAAAAAACACATATAATGTATTAAATTTACATAAGAGGGCTATTGAGAAGTCCATGCCAATTAGACGATGCAATTCCGTTCCAACTTCCACCTCTGTCGGAATCAAGATCCCCCATGTAGTAATTCCCATCCCCACCGGCATTCACATTCCCACTCTGCAGCCATGGGAATCCCCACAACCCTCTCCCGCCGCTCTCACCACCACCACCACCGCCGCTTATCTCTTGCTTCGCCGTGCTAGTAGTAATTGCACCGCCACCAAACTCCTGATCAAATCCCATCTCATGGAATATTCCACCACCACCACCACTTATTCCCATTCCGAGGTTGATTCCACTATCCCCAATTCCATAGTAAAGATTGTGAAACCCTCTAGGGTTTTCAAGAACATTCCCACCACCACCACCTAAGGGCATGTTTGGATTCCCGGAATCGTAGTTACACAAAGTAGGTATGTTGAAACAATTAGGATTGGGGCTGCTGGGGATTTTCTCATCTTGGCTAATCGACGATCTCTTCGACGAAGACGAAGACGACGACGATCTCTTGTTCTTACGGCAGCCGCCGCCCACCGGAACATTCCGGAGGGTTCCGCCTTTAGTCCAGTATCTTCTGCATGATTTGCAGAAGTACCTCGGCTGAGAAAGGCTGTAGTTGTTGTAGTAACAGAACTTTGTGTTGGTTGAATCACATCTCGGGCAGTTCTGGGGCAGTTGGTCACCTGCCCTAATATTTGTTGCCTTCTTTTCTTGATTTCCTTTTGTCCCAATCACCACCATGCTTTCTAGTGTCTGTGATCCCATTTCCTATAACAAGAAGAAAAAAAATAAAGAATTTCTTTAATTTTAGTTACAATTTAAGAGAATTTAAATTTAATTATATATATATATATATATATATATATATAATTAAATATATAGCAAACCTGTGAAAATGAAGAATCCATGGCCATGCAGCCTGATTTCTGGAGACCACCTGAGTTTAATTTGAAGTAATTAATTATAATTTTTTGTGCAAGAAAAAATTGTGCAAGTAAATGTGATGCTGCAACTGCGAGGGCAAGAGGCTATACATACACATATATATATATATAGTTATAGAGAGAGAGAGAGAGAGAGAGAGAGAGAGGGGATTAGTTTGGGAGATTGTGAATATAATATAATATGTAGAGAGAGAAAGTAATGATTACAAGATTTGTACTATTGGGATATGTGTGTGGATTGTGTGTGTGTGTAGGGTTTGGCACGCCACAGAGAGAGAAAGCAAATCTGAATACTCAGTCAGCAGCTGGTGAACATAGGGAGAATAGACAAGGGAATTTGTGTCCAGATTTCGATGAATCCTGTCAGTGGGTCCCACCAGCGTGGTTAGCCAACTATTTGTGGGCCCCCACTCATACGCCACTTTTGTGGGTCCCAAATGAGTACTCCGCCTTATTTTTTGGTTTTAATTTATGGGCCATGTATTTGGTATCGGATTGTTCGTGTACGGTAAATTTATACATAATGTTTACAATTATATGAATAGGATTAACTATATTCTGTACTTTTGAAATATAATTATTCGTATTTTGCACCCTTAAAAATGATTAACACTTAACATCCTTAGAGTACGATAAATCATGCACGATGCATTCCAGGTGAATTTTTAAAATGAATGCAGGTAGTTTAATATTTTCAATAGTAGATTTTTAGAATACCACTGATCTACCATAATTACACACACTTATGTATATGTGTGTTTACTGGATATTTATTTATATTTACTGTTTAAAATCAAATGGTGTGTTTTATCAGGTATAGAATCCCGTAAATCAATTTTTTTATATTTTTATATATGGCTCTCAATGAAGCTAAGTTGTCCCCCTAATTGTTGTCATTAGAAAGTATATAAGCCTACTAATGATCATTTACAATTTCCTTATCCATTAAGACAACATAAATCAACATAACATGCAACCCACAAAATTGATTATAACAAAATTAGAATACAAACTCCAGCGCGCCCGACTCGATGACTAATTAATAGTATATTATGATCTCGATTGATTAAAAGCTCGTGATTAATTAAATAATTAAACGTTGTTTTTTGATATTTAATAGTTTAATGATTTCTATAACTTTTTAGCTAGGTTAGTTCGTAATTATGAAAAAAGAAAAACTCTAGTGTTTTGATCTCCCCTTGTTTAATTATGTAGGATTATATAATCTTATATCCAAGCTAGTTATAATTAGCTACGCAATCAAACTAAGCTTCTATCTATACATCCTGTATCAGAGTTCCTATAATACCATTTGAGGGATGAAGATTCTTGGAATGGCGGGAAAATCAAAATGTCACCCCAACAAATATTCTCACCTGTCATAATCTGTCGAAGATTGGTACACATCATGAACAGACAATGATTGATCCCACTCTCTTTCTTTGTCTTGGATCCCATGAATATGTCTTCTCTCACTACTCTATACTATTTTCAAATTAAAACATAGAATTATAACTGTTTAAATATTTGAAAAAGTATTATCATAAATTTGATATTTGTATTATTCTCTTATACAATTTTTTATTTATAATGAGTGATATAAATCTAATTATATCGAACTAGAACCATATTCTAAATATAATTAAATGATAATAATTATAATTATACCAATTTGAGGTTGTTAACTGGATCATAATTACGACGTTTTCCATCTCGATTGACGCGAGTAACATATGGAGAAACATAAAAGAAAAGAAAAAAAAAAATCAACTACTCAAATGTAATGATAAATTTGCTTCGTGTAATATTTCATTATACAAACTTAATTAGTGGGAAATCATCAAAAATAGAAAACCCCTTAATTTTCTTTTGTGTGCGAAATAATTTGGTGGGTCCACAATAGGACAGTGTGGTTGTCTAGCTAGGACCATGGTTACACATTACAGCATCAGACGAAACATGTTGACCGGTCAAGATTATTTTTCCGGTCAAATGAAAATTATAAAAACAATGAGGCAAAAGTGAAAGCGATTTTTGAAAGCTGTGCCGGACAGCATATGTATCGCATATTGGCATTGTAAGTAATCATGTGCACAAACCTAGAAGATATGTTTCTATTAATTGTTGATGAGATCCCATAGCTTATGGTTTCTTTTTTCTTATTTTATTACATAAAATAAAAGTAACACCTCTGGAATCATTATTTCAGCCTTATGATTTGAATCACAACGAACATCTCCACGAATAGTGGACTTAGAAACGATGATACAAGAAAACTGAAAAACGGACATAGAAAGTGATATATCCAAAAAGTGGGGATACGGAAGCTGGAAGAAAACGTATATATATTAAAAGTATATGGGTATATTTATAAATTTACTTGACAAGGCAACGACTGTGAATCAGCTACTCGCATGTAATGAAGGCCTATCTAGGTGTGTGACAGATTGAATTCGAGCCAAAACTAAAACCGAGTAAAAGAATAAACAGGCGGGACCCACATTAAGTGAGTGGTCGGCGGAAGTGGGCCCGAGGATGATACCAAATCTGTGAAAAGCAGACGTGGCATTTGAAATACGGGCTAGGCTAGGCGACGAATAATTGAGTTTTACGAGGAAAGAACACTGTCTTAATCAATCCTTAGTGGGTGGGCTCCATTTTTAGGTTTTACACACTTCTCTCCCTTGCGAAGCAAAGTATCTATCTTTGAGATTCAATTTTAAAATAATAATAAATTACAGAGTGGTATTTAATTATTATCTATTACATGTTTATCTAGGCAAATCGAATATGATCATATTATATTAGTTGGACCAGTGGACGATCCTTTTTGTTTAATAATAGTTTTCTAATTTTTCAAATTTTAAATTATATAGTAATATTGTTATATTCTGATTGTAATTTATAGAATAATAAATAAAATGAGCACAGTCATAGAGTAGTGGGGAGGAGAGGGGCTGGACATGTGAGGAAGCAAAACCGGCCCGTTTTGCAGACGTCAGATAAAACGGCCCGAAATGGGTGGTGGGCTGTGATATCAATTGGACAAGAAACCAAACTAATACGGCCAATATTTTCTGTTATGGGTAATCACGGAAATCAGACTACACAAGTGACGTTTTAACAAATCGGTTTACGGATTCAAATATTGTTATTCGTCGGGTTTTTAAAATTTAAGATTAGAAATGAGTGAAAGAAGGTTAAAAACATAGTTGCATCGCTTGAAAATGGGCTACGCATCGTATATTTGGTTTCGAAAGGGCTGAGTTGGTGGAGATCAATCAAAAATGGGTCAAAATAGATTTAATGGTTCGAAAAAGGGTTAAATGGATTAGAAACAGGTTTACAATTTACTAAATCGGGTTAAATTAGCTAAAAATATATCAAATGGTTCAAAGACGAGTTGAATTTGGGTTTACAATGGCTCACAAAGGGGCTAAACTAGGTTAGGTGGTCACAAAATATGTTAAGTCAGTTATTTTCAACTACAAGATGTTATTTGCAATAGTCAAGAGATAGCCAATTGCCACCTGATAAATCAGTCTTCTAAGGTCTCGTTTGGTTGTGGAGATTAGCCGTTATTAACTAAATAATTGGACTTTATTTGATGTTTGGTCGACCCGCAAATATTGTGTTATCATGCATTCTCTTGCCTTTCAGGCATGTTTTTTATTCGATTTTCCAAGGTCCAATAATACAATTGGGTTTCATTAGATTATGTCATTTTACCTTGGATAATCTTATCTTGGCAACCAAACGTGGTTACACAATTGTAATATTGGACCTTCGAAAATCAAATAAAAAACATGCCTAAAAGGCAAGATAATGCATGATAACATAATACTTGCGGGTCGACCCGGGAAGTTATTAGGCATACCAAACATCATACAAATATCAATTGTTTAGTTAATCACGGCTAATGTCCCCAACCAAACGAGGCCTAATCATATAAAGAAAAAAAAATTACTGATTAGAGTACAGAGTTCTTACAGGTGTATCTGCCATAAGGAACATTTAGAGCCTCCATTGTGCCACGTAAGTACCCATCAAATGCTTTCGAACTCGCCCGCTCAACAACAAAATAACCGTACTTCATTTACGCCCACCACGTATTATTACAAGTTCTTGTCGGATACTATGTTTTCACTTCCGAGCAACTCGATTCTCCTGCTTCACCATCAAATTCCGAACGAGTTCCAGAATCTCATTTCGCATATTAGTGACAAGTGACGGTGTGATCTGCTCCTCAATGGTAGAAAACCATAAACTCTCCATATTATAATCATGTCTCTCACTAACACACCATTTGCAGATCGCTCGTGCAATGGCAGTGACATACAGCCCACAATCGAACCCATTCACCTGCCTCGGTGTACTGGAGCAGTCAATGTACTTGGCATCAGTCTCCGTATAAGCAACTACAGCTTTATAAACCCTTTTGGAGTGCTTTTTGTTCAGACATCCGCTGCTGTCATGGTGCACAAACAAATTAGTCTTTCTATCGAATGCAAGTAAGCTCCAGTGGGTCCCACCTCCCGCCGCGGTGACATCATCATTGTCGTTGATTGGGAAGATAATCAACTTCCTTTGGGGTAGCTGAAGAGGCTCGATGAAGTCCTTAAGGCTTGCACTGTCGGGGCACTCTTTTATCCAGAAGGTGATTGAAGGTGGGAGCAGAAGTATGTCCTCGGAAGCTTCCGGAAAGGTGGATGGGAGGTAGCTGAAGTAGAACTCGATGATGCGGTCGTTGAGAAAATACGGGCCGTTGAGAATTGCAAGATCCGATCTCCTGAGGACAACGTCGTTGTAGCTAAGAATTTTGTCGTTGGCTGTTTGTTTTTCCATGTCCGAGATGCTATGCAATACCTGCGAGTACAACAGCAAATGCCCAGAAACTGTGACCGTGAGGTTTAGTACAAAAACATGAAGACTGAAGACTAAATGTAATTATTAAAGATTCTTGATGTGAGACTCGACTTCCCCATAATAATTATGTGATTCATCAATCAATTATGGTGAGACTGATGATTAATACCCCTCTGCATAAATAAATCACGATAACGCTGATTCTTCAAATTCTTGCATTCTCTCTAGAAGTTTTGGCATAACGAACAATGACATGCCCTCGACCTAATTATTTGATATGTTTATACAAACTGCCCCTCTGAATCTCATTTTGTTTTTTGTTAGGAGGTTGAACTATAAGATATAAGGCCTCGTTTTTACTGGAAAAGAGAGTCGTGTTTTGATAAGAACATTTACTAGAGAGCAATTCCCAGCTAACTTCTTGGTTCACTTAAAATAATAAGTTACCAACTCTCATCATCAGATCAGATTGAAATATCTAAATAAACAACAAACATTCTTTTCTAGGGGTGAGGGGGTAATCGAACTGGGAACATAATGACTTTTTCGGGCTCGTTATATTCCAGAGTGTAAAGAAAACAAATATTATGGGATCACTATTCATGGCAAAGTGGTGAACTCAAGAATAATTCAGTTGAAGGAGGTGAACTGAATAACATCCCTTTGAAAAATTAAAACCATTAGGTCAACTGCCTGATGAAAAAAGTTCGTTTATCAACCATCAAGCAAGAGATATTTCTCGATGCTCAGAATGCTCCGCCCACTATGTAGTAATTTCAACATTCGACATCTCTAACTGTTAGGTAGTATTCACCACTCCCCGAAAAATTAATCCAATTGTTAACAACTAACATAAAATTTCCAGTGCAACCAGATAAACACGACAATTCTAAAGCAATTACTATCCTACTACCTGATTGAAGCAATGAAATCTCGTCATACCCAAATTGTCGAAATACAATAAGAAATTATTCTCACACTAAAACAAGTCAGAAGAACATCCATTGAATTAACAAGAATATCACAGCACCGAAAGATCACACTATGGGAAGCTTCGCCAAAGAACAACGATGTATCTCTAAACCTACCTAACAAGAACAAACCACATTATACAATATACAATGAAAATATTCTGGAACTGCTGTTTATTTACATCATTATTCTTAAACCTAGAGTTTGTGGACAATTTTATCTTGCTGTCATCAAGAACTGCCATACTAGTGAAATTCCTAAAGTGCATTCAAATATGAAAGGAATCATTTGCTTTCTCTCAGCTTATTCCGAACCACCCCCAATTCAACATGTTGGGGGTGGGGGTGTTCCAATTTCCAAGTTCCAGTAGCCCATGTGGAAACCAATAACCATAGCATACACAGGAAGATTTCATTGAAGCATTTCATCGAACGTATTGCATTCCACATAATAAGAAGTAGATACACATGAATTAAACCCTTAATCAGAAATCTCAAACTATAATCAGAAATCTCAAACCCTTAACAACATATGTGGGGGTCCAATTTCCAAGTTCCAGTAGCCCATGTGGAAACCAATAACCATAGCATACACGGCAAGATTTCATTGAAGCATTTCATCGAACATATTACATTCCACATAATAAGAAGTACACACACATGAATTAAACCCTTAATCAGAAATCTCAAAACTACAATCAGAGCTAACATGATATTACACTTCAATTCTGATTTTTTTTTTTTCAGAAAAATCAAACGAAAGAATCTTAGAAAATACTTGGACAAATTTTCGAAATAGTGAGAGGATCTTACAGCTCAGTGAAGCAAAGCAGGCCTAAGAGCGAAGTGGCCGCACCTCGTTCGACAAACATGGAAGCGATTTGCTGCAAAGGTGAGACTTGTCACGGAAAGCGTGATCTCAAGAATTTCAGAGGGTATTTTTGACTTTTCACGCAAACAAAACACCCTCAGCCGCACGTGCAACACACGGCATGCTGTTACGGGCCGGGCTTTTTTATGAATTTATTCATGTGTATAATATATTGGGCTACTTACATATAATAATTTAAGGGTGCATTTGGATGGAGGGATTTGGGGGAGGGATTTCAAATCCATAATAACAAATCCCTCGGACTTGTTTGGATTGAGGGATTTGGAGATGGATTTCAAATCCCCACCCCTCCTTTTTAGTTGATTTTGGAGCAATAGTGATGGATTTCAAATGACTCCAAAATTGGAGTCATTTCAAATCCATTCCCCAAATCAAATCCCTCCATCCAAATGGACCCTAATAATAATTCGGCTACTTCGGCCGCCATCTCGATCATAAAAATGGAAGCCCGATATTATAAATCAGGCCCACTTGGGTCTAGTGAAGCTATTGAAGCTTAATTAACAGCCCAAAATCATACTAACTAAACCACATGCATAAATATATGTTAATCTTCAAATATCAAAATTAAACGTAATTATCATTTTTATGCTAATATACCATTAAGATTTAAGAATTCTCACTTGTTTTCTTTGAAATTCAAATAATTTTTTTTTTAAATTGGATGCCACCCACGCATAATTTCAAAGAGAATTATGATCGTTTTTTGAGAAAGTTTGACGTTGATCGTGAATATCTATTTATAGACAACATTATTTATTAAGTTAAAATGTAATTAAAACTTAAAAGTGACCTTATCGTAGGTGGAGTAAAAGAGGGAAAGAGATTAAGAAAATAAGAAAACTGGTGGTAAATAACACTGAAAATAATAGCGGAAATTATAGTAAAATTCATGTCTCGTAAACAACACTATAAGTAGACTAGGAAAATAGAACACAATTTTCGAATTTTGTAGATCTCAATCTAATTTTTATTTTATTTTGAATAATATTCCAAATTTCTAAAGTTCAGCAATTTTCCTATTTTCTAATCAAAATTGAAATACATACTAAAATTTGATTCATATTATTATGTATCTTATCAAGGTGAATTAAAAAAAAAAAAAATTTCACAAAAAAAATCCAATCCTACAATATTTTTTTTTTTCATTTTCAAAATTCTGATTTGTAATTTTCCTTAACTTTTTTGGAACAAAATTGGAATTAGTTTCTCATAAAAAAAATATATATTTCAAAAGTGCTAATTCAGCTTTTATCCATCAAATTTCAACCCTAACTAAAACAAATCAAATTAAATTCCAACAAAGTAATTTATAGATCGATAATAATTTATACAATATCAAAACTATCTTAATTTAAAATTAGGAAATTTTATTACAGTAAAATATCCCTTAATTACGATTTAACTTAATCGGAAAAAGTCGTCAGCGTAGCGTGAACAGAATAGAATTTCCATGTTCCTTTCCTTCAATTTTACTCTTCTCCACCACACCTAAAATAAAACCGAAAACGACTCCAAAATTCTCCCACGGCAGTTGCCACCACCACCTCCACCACCACTGCCACATAATTAACCCCCAAAATATACATACACCTATACGTACAACCGACACTGACCTCCCAGAGAATCTCTCTCTCACACTTACAGTCACTAAAACCTCCCCCATCGCTGTGTGTTCTACGTTACCGTGATCAAATTCAGATCTGAAGAAGGGGTGGCAGTGAGCGGCTGTGATCCGGATATTATTAAATCGGGGGCGGTTTGTTGGGTGGATGGAAAATGGAGTACATAAACAATTTGCCGAGCATGGATCTGATGCGCTCCGAGGAGATGATTTTTACGCAGCTTATTATCCCCGTCGAGACTGCTCACCGCGCCGTCTCTTATCTCGGCCAACTCGGTCTCCTCCAATTCCGAGACGTACGCTCAGATCTCCCTCTCTTAACTATTTGTATTGCTGATTTTTTATTTACATTGTTGATAAGTGTATTTGGACGTTCTATTACTGATCGAATTTTGGTTTTCTGATCCGTTGTTATATTAGAGGTGTAGTGGAAGTCTGGGAGAGCGTTCTAATTGCTGCAGAAAATGCGTTATTACGATTATAGGGTGTAGTATTGATCTAGTGTTGCCATTGATGGTTACTCGCTGATTAGGAGAAGGTTCTTCGTTAATCGAGTTGGGCTCTAACAATTTGCCTAGATTCTATACGTCTATCAGTAATTAAGCTGCACATAATTTTTTTCATGGAAGCAATTGATCCTTATGAAGGATTTTGAGTACATTAATATGTTATAGCCGATTCATGGGGATATTCTGAAAAGTGCATAGACGATTGTGTTCCCCTTACTTCATTTAGTTTTTGCTGGTTATGCTAAGAACGAAGTAAATGGAATATACTTGGCAACATTAAACATGCGATCGGCTCTGAAGTTTTAAGTGATCATATTTTTGTATACATCAAGATCTTTATTGTTTTAGCTTATGATGTTAATGGATAACTACACTTGAAATTCTTCTGGAATCTTTTTGTTCATACCATTTTATAGAAGTTTACTTTAAGCTTCTGGTTAGTTTTTTGCTTATTCTTTGTGTTGCTAAAATGATGCGCTCAGTTGTTTTTATTTTTGCTGGCAGTTAAATGAGGATAAAAGCCCTTTCCAGAGAACATTTGTTAATCAGGTAATTTTGAATTACTGTCAGTTGTGATATTCAAAAGATATTTACCCTGCTCATTCCTTTTTTCTAGACTTTGCGAATTAATACTTGGTTATAAGCTAATTCCTATTGCCACTGGTAATCTAACTCTCGCTTCCAAAATGACTTCCTCAATTTCGAAGAATGTGAGATGGTTCAACTTTATGTTTCATTCGAATTTTACAAAAAAATAAAAATAAAAAAAGGATTCAGTTGGTACAGATGTATATTATTTTTCGAAATAGAAAATCAAATATACAACTGGAATATATTGCTACGACTAGAATAATAATTCATACGTTGAAGTTCAATCGCAATGTTAAAATTTGTAAACCTTGTTGCTTGAGGTGGCTGGAGATAGTTTCAAAATTCATTTGCTACAGTTGTTCGTGTGTTATACTTAATGTGATGCGCTGTGTTGCTTGCCCCATTCTACTAGTTCTATTGTCAGCCAATTGTTGAAAATTTTGTGGTAATTTCATTTCATTACTGTTGGTTGTACTGGAATTGTTGTTATCAGCAAACTCTTCTCTCATCAACAATTCTAAGGTTCTGTTGCTTTTGATACGTATCGACAATTTCTTTTCATAGGAAGACATATTTATCGACGACTCACTTCAGTAAAGTCTGCCCCGCCAACAACTATGTACCATCTAAAAATAATCAGAGATAACAGTACAAGCAACAGCGACATAGTCGTAACAAAAATAAATTTCTTCCCTAGTGGTTAATTATCCGGAGCAGTTTTTGCTTGCAATAGTAACCTAATTTTCTGGCAGCTACTGCTATCTGGTTCTGTTAGGTACTTTGATGGTCTGAAGCTCAATGTTTTGAGTTAGAGCAGCCAGTCTTTTCTCATGGAACAATTGAAATAATCCCAGTTGTTCATGAGTTGATAGTTTGCACAGAAAACTGGGATTAGATGAACAGGCAGGAGAGGGTCATGTGATGAGGCCTATGAATTAAATTGATTAAGCTAAAGAGTTGATATAAGGAAACCTCTTCGGCCTTTATAGAAACAGTTAACTTACTATTTGTATATTTTTATTATATGTTTCTGTTGTTGTGTTGGGGTGGTGGAAGAGAATTAAGTGATCAAGTGCATGTACTTCCTGGAGTAGTTTGCAGGACAGTACTCACTACTCACTGTTACTAATACATCTTAGCTCAAACCAACGAGTAAGTAGACCTTGTTATGAAGAAAGCTGTTTGCATCTAGGTATCAGGATTCAGGACATTCTGGATATTTTATGTGCGACTTAAGCGCTTGAATTATTCTGGTTTTACTGGCATGTTGTTGTTACATCTGGAGTTATTCTTCTTTTTTCTTTTATTTTCCCAAAAAAATTAAAAAAATAAAAAATAAAAAAGATCAACAGATACCCTTTCTATTGCCATGTGAATTATTTTCCTGATCTTATTGTAAGTAGAACTGAATCACTTTTATGTATAACCAAAATCTTCACTCTGTGAGTGTCTGTCACTGTGCTCTTATTTGGTTATGTCTCTGCTATCGCCTTTGTTGGTTGTTCAATATTCTGGTTTCCATATACTTTCAACAGGTTAAAAGATGCGCTGAGATGTCGAGAAAACTACGATTTCTTAAAGATCAGATACATAAAGCTGGTATAATTTCATCTCATCCAGCTTCGCAACCTGATATTGAATTAGAAGAATTGGAGGTCTGTTCGTTTGTTTGTTTCTTCTTATTCTTCTTTAAATTATTACTATTTGTAATATTATTCTTATTCTTCCCAACTACTATTAATGTTATTTTTTTTGCTTCATCTACTGGAAGATAGCCATATATATGCAAGAAATACCATTTCCTTCTCTTTCCATGCAACTAATTCATCATTTTTTTTTCTCTTTTGATCTTAGATTCAACTTCCTGAGTACATACAACTAATTCTGTCATTGTGTTCTCTCTCCTTTTATCTTAGAGTCGACTTGCTGAGCATGAGCACGAGCTAATTGAAATGAATACCAACAGCGAGAAACTGCAGCAAACATATAATGAGCTGCTTGAGTTCAAGATGGTTTTGCAAAAGGTACACACTATCAGTATCTATCTTCTTTGTCAAGTAGAAAATTCTGTCTAGGTAAAAAGTTACTAAGTCTTCTATGTGTAAAAGTATAAGAATAAATGGGTATATTTCAATAAGTTAACTATCACTAGTACCATCTAGTTTGAATATCTCGAGAATTACATTGAAGTAGTTCAGATATTTGTTATATTGTACATTTATTTTTGTCTGGAAATCAATCTAATAGTTCCAGAGTGGAAGATCCTATAGAGGGCATCACAATTCTCCGTAATCAATGTTTATGAGACATAGCATAGTTTGTTCATAAAATAAAGAAAATTGAGCAAAAATTGTGGACGGAAGAGGTCGGTCATTAACGAAGGCAAAAGAAAAAAACAAACAAAAAACAAACAAAGGTTCTCGATTCTTCTTCTTCTTCTAAAATATAAATAAAAAAGCATAATTTAAGGAGCAGGATTCACAAGGTTCAATTTATTCATCAGTGTGGCAAAGATTAAACTTGAAGTGAATATCTAGAGCATTCCCCTTGATTTTGGAGCATCATAAATAACATTATAAGGTTATTGAAGTAATACTTTCTCTTTTCCTTCTCTTTTTTTTTTGTGTGTGTGTGTGTGTGTGTGTGTGTGTGGGGGGGGGGGGGGGGGTGGGGTGGTTGCAGTTGAAAGTGACAGCAGTTAGGGTATGACTATTCTGTAAGGTGAGCTAAATACCAGTCTTCGTTCAAACTTAAAGTGAATATCTAGAGCATTCCCCTTGATTTTGGAGCATCATAAATAACATTATAAGGTTATTGAAGTAATACTTTTTTTTTTGGGGGGGGGGGGAGGGGTTTGCAGTTGAAAGTGACAGCAGTTAGAGTATGACTATTCTGTAAGGTGAGCTAAATACCAGTTTTAAGGAACAAAACTTAAGATGAATATTGTACATGTTGTATGAGTTAGATGACCCAGAAACAGCAAAAAAAAAAAGGAAACATAAAAAAGAATGGATAGGTGAATATAAGTCTATATATACATCTTCTTCTGGGTATTGTGTTAGCTTGGTATTTAGTACTGCAGTTATCATCATAATTGGCACTATTATGAGTGAGATCATCATATGTAAGCCTTTTAATGGTTACTTTCAGGCTGGTGACTTTCTTGTGCCTAGTGGGAACCATTCTGCTGTACAAGAGACAGAATTAGATGAAAATGTCTGTATAAACAACGATTATGTGGACACAGAATCACTGCTTGAACAGGTAATGAGTTGTATGATCTTCTTTTGGCTGGATTACTTTTATGCCTTGGTACCATCTTTCATTTTGGCATATTACATTGTGCTTAATGTAGAATTTTCTCATTGCAGCAACCAGAACCATCAAACCAATCTGGTGTGAAATTTGTTAGTGGCATCATTTGTAAATCGAAAGTTCTTAGTTTTGAGAGAATTTTATTTCGCACTACAAGAGGCAATATGCTTTTCAATCAGGCACCAGCTGATGATCAAATCATGGATCCTGCATCAAATGAAATGGTCATTTTCCCACTAATTTTACTTTCCAGTACTGCTTACTTTCTTACTTGAATGCCAACTCTCAATCATTTTGCTTTTCAAACTTTCTTTTTATTTTTGAGTGTATATTGGATTGTCTTTACTGATGAAAGGCCCGAAAATGTTTCCAGTAATTGAGCTATACATTCATGTTTTCGATGCAGGTTGAGAACACAATCTTTGTGGTATTCTTCTCAGGTGAGCAGGCAAGAAAAAAGATCCTGAAAATATGTGAAGCATTCGGCGCAAACTGTTATCCAGTTCCTGAAGAGACAACCAAACGAAGGCAAATAACTAGAGAAGTATGTGATTGAATATTTTGCCTGTGTTTTGTTGCATTTATTCACGCACATATTTGCTCTATCATGTGCTATTATAGTGTAAAATGTTTGAAAAGACTTGTTTGCTTCATATTTCATACACATTATCACCAGTATATGAAGTGTCTTCTGCTGCTCATATGTAGCTTAGACTATTTCTGTGAATACATATAGATCCACTCTTATTAGTTACTCATTTTCAGGTATTGTCACGCTTGTCTGAGTTGGAAACAACCTTAGACGCTGGCCTACGTCATCGGGACACAGCTCTCACCTCTATTAGCTTTCAGCTTTCTAGATGGACGAATATGGTAGGATGTAGTTCTTTGTTTTCTTTTTCTCAAACTTAAAATCGCTGCTGACAAGTGTAGAAACTCAACTCTATTTCCTTAACTCCCTTTCTAGGTAAGAAGAGAAAAGGCTATTTACGACACGTTAAATATGCTGAACTTTGATGTCACTAAGAAGTGTCTGGTTGGAGAGGGTTGGTGTCCTACCTTTGCAAAGACTAAGGTACTAATTTTATGGTGTATGTTTTATGTATTTGAAATAAACCTAGAGTAACTGCCATTTTATATAATTCAGTGAAAAGGATGAATTCCTTAACATTTCAGATTCAAGAAGCTCTGCAACGTGCAACTTTTGATAGTAATTCCCAAGTGGGCATAATATTTCATGTGATGGATTCAGTCGAGTTGCCTCCGACATACTTCAGGACCAACCATTTTACGAATGCATATCAGGAAATTGTTGATGCATATGGGTAAGTCAATGCATCATCTACTTTTGTGGACATGATAAGCTGCCCTCATATTTTTTACTATTGGTTGTTTGTTCTCATTAATTTAGCAGGTAAAACGTATATATATATATATATATATATATATATATATATATATATATATATATATAGGTTATGTTGAATTGTGCCCTGAGTTATGGTGATATGTGCCATATGTTTCCATTTTCATTCGACGGCATAGAAAGTAGGGAACATACTGTTAGCTTTATTTGAGAGTCTGGAAACAAATGCTCTATATACTATGTGGATTTGTTGGTTATACTATGCCCTTTGTCCATACTTTCGAGGTTCTCTGACTAAAAACTTATAGAAAACTTTATTTTCTCCGAATAAGGTTTACCTCATTCCATGTTGATCAGGTGATACGTAGAGATGATAGGTAGAAGTGCAATTAAAAGAGTCTTCGGATCCTTCAAATTACTTAACACTATGTTGATTGGGCGCAGTAAATTCCTATCAGTAGCTTCCTTATGTATGCTTGAGGATATGATAGATGTTGTCTGATGCAATTCCATGTTGGGCCATTTTTTAATTATTTAGATATTGGTTGCTACTGTTGTTATTCAATGTGAGGGTTGTTTGTGGCTTCTGTGTTCCTAGTCTGAAGAATCCAAACTTTTAAGAATATGTTCAAGAACTTAATTTGAGAAATTACTATTCATCCATGAACATATTCTTTTACATGCTTTAGTGTGCTTTTACTTTAGACAACAGACTACTCTCCAAACTTGATCTTCCACACGCTGTACGAATCTGTGAGCTGGGTTGTTGGTGCTTCTTAAGAGAGTGTAACTAATAGTTGAGTAACATCAGTGGTTAATGATCTGGACGTTGATTCTAGTTTATGTAGTTTGGTTGGAGATATTCACTTGTTTAGAATTTTTTTGAAGCTCTTAGTGCTTTCAAGTAATGATGTTTGTTCTGTATAACTGTCTATGTTTGTAAGTTCTTAGCTCTGAAACCAGTATTGATAAGAATTTCTTTTTTTGGCAGTGTTGCTAAATATCAGGAGGCAAATCCTGCAGTATATGCAGTTGTTACATTCCCGTTTCTTTTTGCTGTGATGTTTGGGGATTGGGGTCATGGTATATGCTTGCTGTTGGGTGCTTTATTTCTTCTAGCCCGTGAGAAAAAGTTCGGTTCACAGGTATATATGGAACTGTTAAGATTCGTTGTTTAAAGGTTTTCTTGCTAAATATGCAAAAAAATATATGGATGTAATTTCGTTGCTCATAGTTACCTTTTAATGGATCTCAAAATTCTCTTCAGTTGTTGCGTATTCCATGTGTTTTTTCACACAATTAACTGATCCATTTTTAAATAAAATTTGCTAATCGTTTGTTGGATTCTGAAGTAGCTGAGGTGGGTAATAAGAGCAAGCTATTTTCTGTTGGTTCCTGTTCTTAAATGTCATGTAGTTAATAATTATCTCTTAAGGAATACATAGTGTGCTGTGAGCTGTGTCTAGCCTCAAATAAAATAGAAGGTTCTTATGATTATTTGAATTAGCTGTAGCTTTTGCTGTTGACTGTTTATTGTGGGGAGGAAACATTCACTAGCTGGAATATTCCTGCATAATGATCTTTCTAGGAAAGTGTTAACTTATATGAGACTCCTGTCTCTTTAGGACAGGCCGGCTGGAATATAACATAGTGGATAGGTATAGGTTTACAGAATTTTATGAAGTAGATAACTTGAAAGCGTGTTCTGTGTAAGAGTTGTAACTTATGAGGAAAGACATATCTTAACCATTTTGCCTGAAATTGTCAGAGGAATCTACAGAAAATGTACATCAGGTTCACATCTGAAATGCTAAATTACATACGCAGTTGCTCTTGCGTACATAATACAAGGCTTATAAAAGGATGCATTGAGAACTAGGTTTTCATTTAATCTGTGTGGTGTGGAAAATCCATTTAAACTACGCAAATTTCCCTAGGTCTTTTGAGTTGAATGGTGCATAGTCAGCTGTGTCTATGCTGTGTAGTAAATGCAACTAAATGAACAACAGAAAGTACTGCAGAATCAAATTAACTTTTGTTATTCTAGTTGGCATTAATCACTACAGAAGAAATTTGTTGAATCATTAATCACTCTAGTTAGCTCGAACCTTATGTTATTCTAATTTGCATTTGGTCACTGTCAATTAACAGTTGATCTGGTGCCGATGGTAATAGTTGCATGTATATTATATTAGAGAAGTGATTTTGCTTGCCAAGGATAGTAGGTGAGGTAATTAGGAAAATTAACCACCACAGCTTTTATGTATAATAGACTATATGATGGTGATGCAAGTTAACTTCAATCCGCTGACTCAAGTTTATATAAATGTGCTTAGGTCAACTAATATTTATTACTTTTCCTTTCCTTTTCTTCCTTGTAACTCAAATGTTTGTTTCCATCAGAAACTTGGCAGCTTCATGGAGATGCTATTTGGCGGCCGATATGTCCTACTTTTGATGTCACTCTTTTCTATTTACTGTGGCTTGATATACAATGAATTCTTTTCCGTTCCATTTCACATATTTGGCAGCTCTGCCTACAACTGCCGAGATGCTACATGCAGGTAGGAATCAGTACCTCTCTTTCATCATTGAGGTGACTTGTGTTCCTTTGTATCTCATTAGCTTTAAAATTGCATGCGACCTCTTCCTTCCTAGTATTGTTCTGACTCTGCAGTCAGCTATAAAGGATAAAGATGAAGAAATAGGGAGAAAAAAATTCATTAGAAAACAAGATATAAAGGAAAACTGGATACACTTCCTCGGTTGGAACAAAGAGTCATAGAAGTCTTAAATCTTAATTAGTATGATTGCATGTGACAGTTAATATGATTTGGGGTCCATTTACAACTTATTAAGTTGCATACTACATGTATTAGAATTCGCATTAGGATATAGATCAAAACAGCATATGAGTTTATTGACGTCCTTTGCTTTTACCTTTAAATTGATTTTGCTTTGCTCATTTTCTATGAAATTTCGGAAGTTCAGTTCCTTATAAATCATCAACTGATCCTTGGCCATCAATGAAGCATTTGATGTGAGTGAATTATCTTGCACTTGGAATCTTAACTGGAGCAAATTAAAGTAGGTAAATGTTGTTTGTTAACCAAAAGAATTTGACCCCTTGGTGTTTTTGTTTTGGGGACCTCAATTAATCATCTTAATGAATGGGAAGTTTCCACAGTTGATTATATCTTTCCTTTTCCATATGTGCCCCAATTTCAGTTCAGCAGTATATCTGAATTTCATGTTCTTCCCTTTTTTTTCCCATTTAAATGTATAGCTGGAAGAGGTTTCTCTTTTATTCGCATGAATATATCTCATTTCTCCACTCACTTTCAGTACCATAACTGAATTTCCTGTGCTCTTTTTTTTTTAATGTTGATATATTGTAAGTAGGTTTGTTGTCTTCTGTTCACATGAAATTTTTCTCATTCTGTTGCTACCTGTTCTCTTCCTTAACAGTGATGCTCACACGGTTGGTCTAATTAAAGATAGAGATACGTATCCATTTGGTGTGGACCCAAGTTGGCGTGGAAGTCGTTCTGAGCTGCCTTTTCTGAATTCTCTAAAGATGAAAATGTCTATTTTGTTCGGCCTGGCACAGATGAATTTAGGAATTATACTAAGTTATTTCAATGCACGCTACTTCAACAACTCACTTGATATTAAGTATGTTTTCTCTCTTCTTGACTCTACTTTGTAATTATCTATAGAGGCTTATTCTTTTGCTTTTCTATCAGGTATCAGTTTGTGCCCCAGATGATATTTCTTAACAGCCTATTTGGATATCTTTCGCTTCTCATTATTATTAAATGGTGTACTGGTTCTCAAGCAGACCTCTATCATGTAATGATTTACATGTTCTTGAGTCCTTTTGAAGATTTGGGTGATAATAAGCTTTTCTGGGGTCAGGGCGTACTTCAGGCATGATCATTATCTATCTTCTTGTGATTTTGCTATTAGATAATATATACTTATTTTAAACAAAAAATGATTATTACTTATTTTTTGCAGGTTATATTGTTATTCTCGGCTTTAGTTGCTGCCCCATGGATGCTCTTTCCCAAACCTTTTATTCTAAAGAGGCTTCATACCGAGGTACTGTCTGTACCCTTCTCTTTTCTTGTCCTTATTTTTCACGTGTTCTCCATCCTGGGAAGGGTGATATTTGTTACTTTGTACCTGCAGCACTGTTTTCATTTATGCTTTAAGAGTACAAGAAATACATTTTTGCCTCTGAGTAAATGGATGAACAATAAGTATGGGATAAAAACACCATCTATTTTTTTTATCAGAGTCTCTCAATGTCTTTATCAGATTTTCTAGTTGAAATATGGAAGACCTCTATCCGACTCCCGATGGGAAGTGTGGAATCTATTTGCCGTTTTAAGCAACTTTTCTTATCCCTGAAATAGCTCTCATGTTTTCTGTTAACTGATTGTACAATAACAAGCTATATAGTGGACATTCATGTCTATTTCACTTTTAATGATGTATGCATCAATATCAGGAAATATGTATATTACCATTTTCCTGTGAACCAGCAACCCTAAAGAGTTAATATGTGGGATTGGATCATAGCTTGAACTTTCCTTGGTTGTCCGATTGTAGTTTCAGTCTATATTCAAGGATTGTAAGATTTTCGAAAGAGTTAGCGTAGCTTCTGAAGTCTTTTAACCTTTGAAAGCGGCGGTGATTAACTTTGTCTTTTTCTTGTGCATAATAAAGAGATTTCAAGGGCGGACTTATGGAGTTCTTGGAACCTCTGATATGTATAATGACGAAGAACCTGATTCTGCAAGACATCCGCGCGAAGAGGAGTTCAACTTTAGTGAGGTCTTTGTGCATCAAATGATACATGCTATTGAATTTATACTGGGTGCAGTTTCCAATACTGCATCATATCTCCGTCTCTGGGCTTTGAGGTATAATAGCACTTTCAACATGCTTTTCTGCACATTCTTTATTCCTGGCTTCGTTTCATCTTGTATAATCGTTGATCTTGTTTTATTACAGTTTGGCCCATTCAGAATTATCAACTGTTTTCTACGAAAAGGTTCTCCTTCTTGCTTGGGGGTAAGTTTTCTCAAGCAATCTGTCCTTTTTCAATTTAAATTCCACTAGTCTGATGTTTTGTCGACTCTTACATAGTAAAGTATCTTCCATTGCTACTGAATTAACAAGGAATAATTTGTAATTAATGGTCATGACCATGAAGGTGAGACTGTGACATTGAAAAAATGAAATTACTCGCAAATGTATCAACAACATTAGTTGCCTTGCATTATTAGTTTTCCAAATATATGACTTGTGTTCGTGCCAATTATGCAGGTACAATAATATTATCATACGTTTAGTGGGACTAGCAGTTTTTGCATTTGCAACGTCATTTATACTGCTCATGATGGAGACTCTTAGTGCATTCCTCCACGCTTTGCGTCTTCATTGGGTGGAATTTCAAAACAAGTTCTACAGTGGGGATGGTTACAAGTTCAGACCCTTTTCCTTTGCCGCATTAACTGACGATGAAGATTAGTATCTTTTCATGTTTTTTTTTTGGGTTGAGATTTTTCGTTTTTTCGGAAGAAGAAGAAAAGTTTTGCAGTGGCAACGGGATCATAAGTATGGAAACGACACATGATAATTGATACTAGTTGATTAGACTCGGAAGTCGTAACTACAAGTGCTGACTCAATATTCTTTAGATGCAAAGGTGAATTTAATTGGGGGAGCTTGTAACTTTTTTTGCTCTAAATCGATTCCGCAGGGATTGAGTTGTAAAGAAGGGACCTTCTATACCTAGAATCTCTACCTTTTAAGTTCTTTTGGCTCTATAACTTTTTTCACTCAGAAATCATTGACACGAGGTTTTTTTGCTTCTATACTTAAATCAGAACTGACTGTATATCAAGTGTGCCTGTTTCTCTCGTTTCTTTTTTCCCAGCTCGAGATAAAGGAGAGAGAGAGCGCGCGCTTTAAGCCCTGAAATAATAGTCCCAATAATTGAGCTTCTGGGCCTCTATGAGCTCTATGGGTCAAATTAGCCTAGATCACATTACTTAATAGCTTAATCGTCTCGTACTAAAGAAAATATTTTCGTTCACATCAATTAAAGGAATTAGGCCTGCAAAATATTGAGCTAGTTGAAAAGCCTTGCACACACTTACTGAATTAATATACCATCGAACCCCATTACTATAAGCTCAATCTCAAATGCTATCGGGTCTCATTACTTACTCTAGGCCCAAATTTGGCTCATGTAATTTTTTCGGATTTCAAGTTTATATCGGGTGTATATCGAACTAGGCTCATAAATAATTGGGTTTAATAAAATAACTCAAACTCGAGTCGAGCCATCGAGCTTCGGTTAGGCCTAATTGTCCGAGTAGCATAAAAAAAGGGGTTTTAGCTCGCAAATCCATTATGCCTAGTTTCATATACGATTCAATCCCAATACTATACTTTGAACACTACACTCCCCCTTTTAAGTTTCGCTCATAGTTAGTTTCCTGTTTGAACTTACTATTATCAAATACGTCCACTTTTTCCGTACATAGAGCTAAAAGGGTAGCAATGTAGACGGATAGAGCTACAGTGACAAGGGCAAAGAGCTAAAATTGTAGCAATGTAGACAGACGGAGCTACATTGGTGCAAGAAGGGGGTATGGATTGAGCATAATGTTTTTCTTCGATTTAATATCGTATTCTTAGAAAGATTCAGACATGTTTGGAAACTATAATTATATATTGGAGTAATGGGTGTTTGGTTACATATATAGCTAAAATGGAATAACAAATTTAATGAAGGATATTATAGACATTTCAAGTGGATATGAAGCTAACTATAAACTAAAAAGTTTATAAAGAAGAAGTGTAGTGTTCAAAGAATAATATTGGGGACTAAAAAACTAGGTAAAAAGGATCTACTAGCTAAAACCCTTGCAAAAAATCTGATGTGTTTTATTCTTTTTATATTTTATTTTCAAATTTCAGAGTAACGGTTTGGGAAGATGGCGAATTACCTCGGCGATTAGCGTCACGCGCTTCCTCGGTTACATTCCCGCTCACCCTCACTTTCAAACCCTCTTCACAGACTTCAGATTTTCAGGCTACTTTTCCCTGAACAGCTAGAGAATTTCCTTACAATAAAGCTCAGATATAAACATTGTCTCTTTTATGAATCATTTCTTAACTTTATCACCTTCGTTCCGTCGAGACGCCACTAGAAGAGGAAAAATATGCGGTCTGATCTGAAAATTCGAACCACCGTCAACTCCACCGTATCTGCTCTACCATCCGGTCAGATCTCTATTTTGTTATTTCCGTTTCAAAATTCCTCTTTCAATTTAGGCGTGATAGATTAATTCCCGATGTAATTGTAGTTTTCAGCTATTAGGGTTTCAGTATTTCTGCTATTTAGTGGATAGTTCTTACGTATGTGTGTGATTGGGAATTATTTTATGCAATGTCGGTTTATAAGAAGATCTTTCAATTCGATTTGGTGAATTCCTTTTTCAGTAGATTTGATTTGTCAGATTCGGAGAAAAAAATCAGTATCTGCGAAAATTGATGTTTTATACAAGGGAATTGGAATTTGTATGAAGATGTAGATATATGTTCACTGACATGAATTTCGAAGTTTGGGATGTAGGTCGCTACTATGTTACATTTCACTCAAACTGGATCCTCTATTACATTCTCTATTATAGGTTTAGGCCTGTAAAATGATTATAGGGATGTGAGAATCAGTACCGCATTATGAATGTGAGTGCTACACAACATTTAGCCCAAAGCACTTTCGGTACATGCATTTAGCTTTATATATCTCGCCTAATCTATGATTTATCTGCCCGTAACTTCTATAACTTGATACATGAAGAAGAAACTATATGGATAACGCCAAAAACAGAAAAAATGAGAATCAAGAATACTAATGAACTTTTTCGATATTATTCTGTCTTGCAGATGCTTTAGAAAATGTTTTGGATTCAGCAAGCCCTTGCTGTGCATCTAATAAAAGTAACTGTTTCAAAGAGAATATCAATATAAACAAATCTGAAACCCCAAACCTTTCTCTGGAGCCATTTCAAATGAAAAGGAAGAAAAAGGGAGGGGGGTCTAATTTGCGGAAAAGCCTAGCATGGAACAGAGCCTTTTTCACTGAAGAAGGTAGTCACTTTTACTATATATCTATTTTTGTTTTTCGTCGAATGTTGTTTCTTAACTGGTATCTAATATTAGGTGTTTTGGATTAAGTGTGGATGCTTTGTTCTCTGTTCAGGTGTTTTGGATCCCCTAGAACTCTCTCTCATTACTGGTGCGTCTTGTAGAGAAGGATTGTCTTTCATCGATGAAGACACTGGTGGTGGTTCTCTGCTGCCTATGAAACTAGAAAATGATATAGTAAAAGAACTACAAGAAGAAGATTTGAGTAAAGATAGAAAGAAGGACTTGTCATCATCAAAGCTTGATTCATCTTCATCTAACTCTACCACATCAACTTCTCTGGTCAGTTTCACTGTTTGTAGTCCTTCTTTTAGTAGAGGATGGTAGTTGATTCTAATGTTTACAACCTTTCAGACTCCAAACAAAGTTCCAACACGTGGTGGTACCAAACCCGGGTCGAGATTTAGTGACTGTCCTCGACCTTTACCTTCATCATCATATCCTTTAATTATGGTACTGTAATATGAATCTGAGTTAGATGTTTCTTAATTTCTGCATATTTCCCATTTCAAGTTGTGAACAGGATAATCCTTAACAATCTGTACATTAAAAAGGCCTGCAATGGTAAATGTTGGCAAAGCTGCAGGTAAGGATTTAAAACTGCCGAAAGTTCCTGGTTCAAAGCCAAGTATTAGCTCAATTTGTGGAACAACTAGGAGTACTATACTCAGAGCAAACTGTGTGAAGCACAATCAAATTACTACACCATCAGGTAATCGCTGAGTGATGGTTAAGTTATTCTTCTCACTTGTGTTGAATTTGCTTCATGCTGAAACAGTGGCTCAGTTCGATGACTCTAGCTAGATATATCTTTATGTTTTTTAAATTCCGAACCTTTTTTCAGTGAGATAATGCCATTGAAATATTTTTTTTATTAGAGGCATGGTGCATAGAGTCTCCTTTGTTACTTCTTTTTGCCGATTTTAACATCCAGTGAAATGCAGGATCAAAGAGCTTCTCTAAAAGTCTCAAGAACACCCAAAATGAATCAAAAGCTAGTTCTCTGCGAGCAACCCACTATTCAGATGGAAATTCAGTAAGAACCTAACAATTTTTATTTAAGAACCACTAAAGTAGAAAGTGTTCTAGTTAGTTATCCTACCCATTAAGTGAAAGTGGCATAAAACTTGGCATCGCTTTTTACCAGTCAAATAGTACCAAGGATTGCTTTAATGTTGCTGGATTACATCGGTAGCTGGTTCTCAACTTTTTACAGGACAACTCATCGTTCAGAAGACATTCATCCGTCAATACGAGTCCACTACTGGTTCAAAAAGCCAACAATTCAGGTTCAGAGATGATTTCAAGTAGTTTGACTGCAGCGAAGCCAGTGAATTCATCAGAGGGCCAACGTGAATCTTTAAATTTTGCAACTCCTCGGAATGCTCATGTCAGGGATATGACTATTCCTTCACACAATCAAGTGATGAAGCCATCGGGTTTGAGAATGCCGTCACCATCTTTATCATTTTTCAGTCAGGTATCACGACTTTGATTACCATGTAGAGGCTTTTAAGCAGAATAAAGAAGTGGTTATGCTTCTATACTATTGTTAATCTTTTGATGCTACTGCAGCCTAAACCTTCAGTCTTCTGCGACTTGTCATCGAGAGATACAGAAGCAGATGTTCGTGGGTCTCGTAAACCTGAAAATCCAAGGTTGCACGACAGCTTTAGAAGAACACCCAAGACTGATAATAAAATCCCAGAGAGTATAACTAGTGTTAGTAGGGCCATAAACTTCAGATCAGAATGTATAGTATCACCTCAAGTCAGTGCTGCGGATATACTTAGACCAGACTTGGATCCGAACTCTGTGCAGAAAGGGGCAGTGAAAGTGCTTTATGATGTTCCCAATCCTGAACCAATAGGTTATAAACTTTTTGAAGACAACAGTTACGTTTTTGATGCACAGATGCAAGATCTTCCCAAAGAAACTAGAATAGGAAGGGTATCTCACAAGGAGGCAAAATTGCAGAAGATAGACATTGAAATGCCCTCAGAAAGTGGAAGGCGTGAACAAATGATGGATGATAGTATTTTTCCAGAATTAAGGTTGGAACAAAAGTATGCTATTCACGAGTCTGAAACAACAGGTGCAATTGATGATGCACCTAAAGAAAAAAATATGTGCAACTCTTTGGTCTTGAATCATGGTGCTGTTATTGGGACACAATGTGAAGATGCACTTCACCACAAAGTTCAGAATTCGAAGCTAGATTGTCGTGAGCCTCGCAAGGAGCAGACTGACCCATTCGAATATTGTCTTGACAAGACTGATATGAACACTGATAAAGATAAGTATGTTCTGAAGTCAAACGACAGAGCTAGTGAGCAACTGGGTGTGTCCAAGCTGAACAGAAGTTCTTGCAGTAGAAGTGCAAGCAGTGAAGCTTCAGAACACAGCGGACCCATGGCAGAAAGTACATATTCTGGGTCCAAGCATCTAGATGCAGATCTTTTAAAAGAAGCATCTTTTGTTGAGGTGTTAGCTGATGGTTTACGGGAGGGAGAGACCCATATGCAGAATGCTGTATTCGCTTCGACTGTCAGAGGCTGTAAGAGTAAAAGCAATTTAGTTTCAGAGGTTGGAAAAGATTTGGTGGTTCAAGATACTTGTCTTAAAGTTGAAATGGAGTTACAGGGAAGTATTGAGCTGAATACAACTGACGGGTTGCCGCTTGAGAAACAAACATGCCTTCAAAATTCCCAGCAAGAAGAAAATGTTTTATCTATATTCCTGGACAGAAAACATGGAAACAAAGTGATTGACACTCAGATGACAAGCTCTAAGTCACCACATGAAATGCATGACTCCGAGTTTGATAAAGACAAGATGATCAGTCAGCCTCTTATATGCACAGAGTTCGATTACGTTGGTAATCCTGTTTCATGTGAAAGCCCTACTAGTTTAATTAACTCGACTTCCAATCACGAGGCCAAACACAAGGGCATCATCACTAATGATTCATTTAGCGGTCATGCTAATGAAAACTTGCCAGACAGTCTTCATCAGGGCAGCACTCGGAGAACAGAAATTGATTATTGCAGTTCGTTTACTGAAAGCACGACTGGTGAAGTGTCACAGAAGAATACTTCTCGAAAGATGGCAGAGGTGGGGCCAATTATAGTAGATGGTTCTGCGAGCAATTGGTCAACTAGCAGTATGTCAGTAAAGGAATGTGAATCTGACATGGACAACTTTACAAATATACAAGACTCGGGTACTGCGCTGGTGCAGTCACCAGACAGCAATACGTTGACTGAATGCTGCTCTAACCAATCAGAACTGTTGGCATCACCTACCGCCGAATTTGTAGATGAAAAGCTTGTACATAGTGATGAGAGATTGCATGTTGAAAATTACTTGCAGACAGAGAGCCCTGCTGATGTGTCCTATGAAGATAATGCATTGGAGATTCCGGAAGATTCTGTTACAGGACAAAAACAAATATGCTCAAGCATTTTACGAAGTTCCAGTGTTTCTGAAAATGAAGCTGTATCAGCGCCGAAGTAAGTGTTATTAGCACATATTTTATTTTTTCCTTTTTGATTAATTTTGTATATTGCCTTCAAAATTTTCCGGAATCTGACTATTATGCTTCACTGTAATTGTTTGCCTGACAGCAACGAACTCGGGGTTGGTCTTAATGAGAGAAGTTCCTTGCTTGTTCCTCCGCAAAATGCTGTTCCGTTTTCTGATGAATGGTTGGCTGCCATTGAAGCAGCTGGAGAGGTAATAAAGCATCTCCTTGAAATGTATTTATCGTTATACTGTTGTCGGTTCTGTTTGATTCTATCAGTTCAATATCTTATTTAATTGATTAAACATGGAATTATTGACAGGATATTCTGACCAGAAAGGGTGGGGCGGTGCAAAACTCACCCCCTGACAAATCGCTACCCGAGCCTAGTCCATGGTCTCCGGTATGCCATCAAGTTTTATCTCTTCTCTGAATATTTTAAACGAGCTGTCGTGTCTGTCGTAGATTTTATACATTCATATAAGTAATACAAATATTCGACATGGAAAATCGTAAATTTGAGATGTGATCGCCAGAAACCTAACTCGAAAAATCTGCTACTTAAAATTGAAGTTGTGAAAAATGTTTTATGTTTCATGATTTTTCATTTTTTTTCCAGGTGAGGAAGAAAAACAATCAGATTGGACCATTTGACTGTACGAAATACAACAACGTCGACCCTTCCGACTCTTAACTAAATCATAAGGTTTGTGCATGCAAGATTCATTCTTTCGATTGTAACCCTCGTTACTGATCTAGGAACATTCTACAACATTGGTTACCACTATTGCTCTTTCCTCATCAAGAATAAATCTTTCGATTCACAAACAGTTGGACCTTTAAAATAATTATTGGAAATTATGCTAGTAAATAAGTATTTCTCTACGAACTAAACTTTACTCGAATAAATGGCCGGTAAAAGGGTTAGTTGGATTTTTGTTTTTTTCCTAAAATAAAAAATATAAAAACTACATGTAGAGGATTTTTTTTAGTAATGATTCAATTCTGTGCGTTTATGCAATTATGATAATATTTTTGCTCTTTTTAACTACTTTACCTGCTAATCATTTTTTTCCGAAATCGACCATTTAGTCACGAAAAATCGATTTTTTTGCTTCTTATGTAGTAATTTTATATTTGTGTGCATTGTTTCATAATAATTTATACTGGCTATTTTTTTTCCATTTCCAAAATCTAACATCAATAATTATTTTTGTTTTGAATGTATTGAAAGTAGATGAATAAGGAGTTGGTGAGTTTATTTTATTACTAAAATTATTACGTTATACCCCAAAAGACCGTTATGCCCAGACAATTACGATTTTACTAAATGCATGCATATTTAGAATTACCTTATTTAAATAGCTTAATCCCACTTTGCACCTTTAAAATGGAGTCTTTTGGCACTTTACACCCTTGAAAAACAATAATAGCACTTTACACCCTCAAAATACAATAAATCATTCACAATACACCCTTATGTGAATAACAAAGGCAATTTCATTTTTATTGGGTTTTTTATTTATATTATTCTCAAGTGCAAAATAACGAATTAAATTGTTACTTTCTTCAACATTCAATCAAATTTCGAGAACACCTATTGCAAAAAAATAAAAATCACACTGAATTATCGAAAAAAAATATATTTTCTTACAAAATAAAATGAATTTTTTTATCACTAAACTATTCGATTGATGGATCACATAATTTAATTTGTGGAAATATAAGGTAGAAATATTTGGAATAAAATATAATTAATTAATTGTTTAATGGAACATACCTCCGATTATATGATCCTTCCAATAAAAATATAATTAATTAATTATTTAGGTTGTCAAAGAAGTGTACGTAAAAGCAAGCACAATAGACATTTAGCTAGTCATATGATATTTCACATCAAGAGAGGGAACAATATATCATGAGCATGACTTCTTAGTTCTTACTGTTGATAGTGGAAGACTGGAAGTTGATCACGTGTTTTTTATGGGTGGAAATAGGATAAATCAGAATTAATATTTTTGGAAGAAAAACAAAAATTATGGGTAGTGAAAAATAGTTTCAATTTTGTTAAAAGAAAATCAGAAATTGGAATGAAAATTATTCCTCCAAAATGGGATTTTTTTTATCGGAATCGACTGGATCCAGAAATTTCTATTTTTTCAATAACCTAAAATGTAAAATGCATAATAATATTGATATTATAAGTATGTTTTTCAAAAAAAAAAAAAATATCAATTTTTTTGGAAATTAAAAATGGGATCATAAATCAAAATCTCATATTTCTAATCCAAAATATTTCGGAAAAAAGGGAGTTGGAAGATTCAGAATTCGAAAAATATTATTCCAAAATAGAGAAAAACTCGAATGGACATCAACGGAAAAAATCAGAAATTACGTTCTAATTTCCACACCAGTGCTAGCCCTATACCAAAAACACTTAGAAATATTTATTGAATTATTATAGTTGATATATATATAATCAACTTGATTCATCCTCCTCCACAACTCCAACATTCTTGTACTTGTACAAACAAGAACAAACAAGATAATAACCGAAATTAAAAACACCAAGAACAACCATCACCCAATAAACATAATCCAGCCTCCCTTGATTAATATCATCCGGCAACCAAACGGTCACCCTCCGAACAAAGTCAATCACCGCGGTGCTCAAATAAAACGCCACCGCAATAAGCAAAGCAACCATAGCAGTCGAGAAGCTCTTTAGAGATTCCGGAAACTCCTGATAGTACAATGCCACCTGTCCCGGAAAATGAAACCCTTCCCCAATTCCAACTATGACCATCTGCGGGATCAACCACAGCACCGACATTACGTGGCGGGGCCCACCTCCCCGCCTCTTGGACTCCACTAGAGCCGAGACCGCCATGCTGGCGATGTTGAACACGTGGCCGATGCCTATTTGCTGCAGGGGTGTGGGCAGGGGAATATTATCCCTCCTCCTTCTGCCAGCTGTCAACTTCCTCCAGAGTGGCCAGAGGGTGTGGTTGGCTAGGCTGGTGCACAGTGCGGTTGAGATCAACGAGAACACAAATATCGAGCCGGCCGGGATCTGGAAACCGGATCCTGCCACGTGGCGGTCTGTAGCTAGGGCTTGGAGGACAGTGAGGCTGATCTGGATTCCTATTGGTGTGGCTAAGATGATGCTGGTTGACCATAGTGGGAGTATTTTTATCAGTGTTTTGAGATCTTCCACTTGTTGGACAGTGCATAGTTTCCACGGGCTCGACCGGGCTGGTTCGATGTCTTCTTCAGTCTTCAGTGCGGCCCGGTTCAGTACCCTTCACAAAAAGGGTAAAAAGATAATTATACTACATAAACTAACGGTGTTAGAGATTTGAGGATTGACCGTTAAGTTGAAGGGTCACTTTGTCGCATATATATATATATATATATATATATATATATATATATATATATATATATATATATATATATATATATATATATATATATATATATGTGACTCTATATATAGTACATGGGTGCTATTTGTATTGCACCCTATTAATTAACTCTGGAAAAATTCGAGACCATCTCTTTTGGTTTTGAATAAATATTTTGAGAGTCAAAAAATATCTGTGGCAAGATTCTTCTGAGT